CCAGAATTTAAACTCGTGAACATCTAACTATGAGGCAAGAGTTCTAACCGCAGCACCACACGGCAAGACACACACATCTGATCAATTGTGGGGGAGTTGCTACTTCACAAGATCAATCACGAGAGAGCTACATTTACAGGGTTTGCTCGCGACGTTTGCAAAAGTTGGACAATATCCTCGTGTGGTTCGAAGACTTTTTAAATCCTTTATATTAAGATCGCTTGCTTGCTTGCGTGCTTGCTTGCTTGCTTACGACCGTGCAAATCTTTCGGTCGTTTTTTTAACCCACTTCCCGTGATCCAATCGAGCTGAGATTTTCCAAACAGACTCGTTGTGCGTGACAATTAATTGTCGTGAAAAAAAAAATTCCCAAATTTTACACTGTTTAGGGAATTTTTAAAAAATATTTCATTACCAATTGCTTAATGTTGGCAGACAATCATCTGACCCATAGGTGGCAGCCATCTCAAGCCAGAGGACGAGAGGACTCTAGCCGCCACGCATATAAAGGATTTAGAGTGAAAATTTTTGTTTTTACGGGTTATACTTGTTTGCTCCATCAGGAGGGAATTCTAGATTTGAAGTTTTCGTGACTGCAGGGATCCATCGAAAATAACGACAACAGCTTAAACTCCCGCCCCCAACTCCACACGCCCCCCCCCTGCATCCCTCCTCCCTGGCTCCTCCCCCCCTCTTACCCTATGTAACGCTTGTCACATACAACTCTCTCTGCCCACTACAGTAAAAAATTTTTGCTGTGGTTGTCCCACCTGATGACGGAAGCTCGTGTTGCCTCCGAAACGTCGTGATTTAATTTAGTTATTTTTTTATTTTCCTTTTTAATTTTTTTCACTTTTTTATTTTCATTTTTTATTATTTTTATTTTTCGCTACGTGACTTTACCGAAAGAACCAAAGAGTATAGCAGGGAATTCCTTTGGAAATCCACCCGGTGATGAGAAACAATTGTTGATGATGGTTAGACCCCTTTACACCAATGCATTTAAACCAGCTTAATATTGTCAACATTAAGGGGTTGTTTAAAGTAATGTGAACAAGAACATGCATTTTATACAGATAGACAACACACATAATGAGGCCAAATCTCATTTGACACGTTATATATGAGTACATATTTTAAGCCGAGTTTACCTAGTGAGTACATAATAATTTCGCCTACCAATTACAATATCACAAATATGTATCACCAGATAAATAAGCAAGCTTATTTGAAAAAAAATTTACCCGTAAAAACAAAGTTTTTCACTATAAATCCTTTATATGCGTGGCGGCTAGAGTCATCTCGTCCTCTGGCTTGAGATGGCTGCCACCTATGGGTCAGATGATTGCCTGCCACCATTAAGCAATTGGTAATTAAATATAAAAACTAATTTCCTAAAAAGTGTAACATTTTTGAAAAATGTTTTCACGAAAATAAATTGTCACGCACAATGAGTCTGTGTGCAAAATGTCAGCTCGATTAGATCACGGGAAGTGGGTTAAAAAACGACCGAAAGATTTGCACGGTCGTAAGCGCGCAAGCAAGCAAGCAAGTGAACTTAATATAAAGGATTTAAAAAGGGCACTCTTTTCGTGTGTAGTTTACCAGGTAAGGCTCACTGAGCTGCATGGCTCATCTTTCAGAAGTGACCTGGCTATCACGAATAATAGCTCAACGAAGTGGCTCATCATCATCATCATGACGTGGAAGTTTATCCCAGTAGCCGAATACTTGAAATACACCACTAACCTCGCCACTGTCACCAGCCTCCTATCTCTATACACGCACGTACACGAAGGCACGGTCACTTACTAACCTGGCTGACTGAGGACTGTGGATCACTGGTAGGACGGGCACATTGAATTGCATTCGTATGGTAGTACAGGCACATTGAATGGCATTCGTATAGTAGGGCAGGCACATCGTATGGTAGGATAGGCACATTGAATTGCACTCGTATGGTAGGACATGCACATCGTATGGTAGTGCAGGCACATTGAATTGCATTCGAATTGAGAATGATTGGCATGTTGTAGAGAAGCACATTGATCACGAATATACAAAAGGCAATATGATACGGTGCCTGTGTTGATCCGTTGATATCGAAACAACCCAATGTGCCCTTAAGTCAAACGCTCCTCCGCTACTGTCGTTTAAAATGAGCCAATATCCACCACGCATATTTACTGTGACCAGTGGTGCAGGGGCACAAGTAAAAAAAAACTCGATACCTTCGTCAATAACAGTGTGGTGTTAAAAGGAAATAACTATAACCCGTAAAAACAAAGTTTTTCACTATAAATCCTTTATATGCGTGGCGGCTAGAGTCCTCTCGTCCTCTGGCTTGAGATGGTTGCTACCTATGGGTCAGATGATTGCATTGCACCATTAAGCAATTGGTAATTAAATATAATATTTTTGTCCTAAAAAGTGTAACGAGTCTGTGTGGAAAATGTCAGCTCGATTGGATCACGGGAAGTGGGTTAAAAAACGACCGAAAGATTTGCACGGTCTTAAGCAAGCAAGCGAACTTAATATAAAGGATTTTAAAAAATCTAACTGGGGATGCTTCGGGCAATGACCCCATCTTCATAGCACATACCCAAAACGTCGCCTATTCGATGTCAATATTTCTATTTAAAGCGGCGTTTCTGACGAATGTCTGTCTGCATGGGTTGTCCTTGGTTTGCAATGTCGATGTCCACACGCTCGCACTCATTGCACGCACAAAGTGCCAGCCCAAAAACATGTAACCACAATACCTTAGCTGATCTCGTCAAGGAAGATAAACCATCACGCGAACTCCGATCGCCCTCGAAGCGGCAGCGGCTTTTGGCTCGGCGCTTCTGCGGCCGTCTGGAACGCTCTTTCCTTCCGATATTAGGAAGCCTCTGGAGCTAGGCACTTTTAAATCTAGACTGAAAACGAATTTCTTTAGAACTGCTTTTTGTGTCTTCTTGGTTCTTTCGGTAAAGTCACGTAGAAGGGAAATAATAAAATAATACAAATTAAACATAAAATAATTCTCACGACGTTTCGGCCACAACGCAAGCAGCCGTCCTCAGGTGAAGAACAGGTATGTCCTTCCCCGCACCTCCGATTAGCCACGGTTGGCTACGTGCGGTGCGAGAGAAGTTCAGCATACGTACACACACACTCACTCTCGATGTTTTAGTCATACGACTATTCGCATCGATAATTATCAGTGCAATTCAGCATGCGTACCCAGAGAAGCGACAATGACGATACGGGCATCCTCAACGACTCCCAGGGCACAGCACAGCGGCCTCCCGTGACGGAGCGAGGCACGACCGGGCAAAGTTTTCAAGCAATGCCCCACGGAGAGGCCTGGGAGAAACGATTTGTTAATTTACACCACCGTCAATAAAAAAGAAACATCGTCAATTAGCGGATGCAGATCTGTGTATCGCTGCTCTAGGAGAGAAAAGAGAGAGAGCGAGAGAGAGGAAACTCACAGCGCAATCATCTATTGTTGGAAATAATTAAGCGGTGACAATGTTGAGAATAAATCTACAAGTCTCACTCAATTTTAATTGCGGAAGGCACCACGCCGCCGCACGCGTGGGCGTCCATCGGCAAAGGGCTTTGGCACTGGATGGGGGGCACGCACCAGTTGAGTTCTCTTGCCCCAGTGGGCACCCCACTATGCCCCCCCCCCTCACAATGCCTACCCACACACCCCACAATGCCCACCCCCCCCCTCACAATGATCACCCCCCACCACAATGCCCACCCTTCCCCACAATGCTTACCACCCCCGCAATGCCCCCCCCCCCCACAATGCCCCCCCTCACAATGCCCACCCACAATTCCCCCCCCCCCCCACTTTGCTCCCCCCCACAATTCCCACCTCCCCCACAATGTCCACCCACCCCACAATGCACCCCCTCCCACACAATGCCCACCCACCCCCCACAATGCCCACCCCCCACAATGCCCACCTCCACCCACAATGCCCACCCCCCACAATGCCCACCTCCACCCACAATGCCCACCCCCCACAATGCCCACCCCCCACAATGCCCCCCCCCCGCCCACAATGCCCACCTCCACAATGCCCACCTCCCCCCCCCACTATGCCCCCCCCCGCCCACAATGCCTCCCACCTCCACCCACAATGCCTCCCCCCCCGCCCACAATGCCCCCCCCACAATGCCCACCTCCCCCCCCCCACTATGCCCCCCCCACAATTCCCACTATGCCCCCCCACCCACTAAACTACACGTGATTTCTCACAAGCACCGAGCAAGTGCTGTCAAAACAAGTGGCAGTTGACTTCATTGCACACGCGCAACAGGGCATGCCAGTGCTCATTATAAATATAGGCTTTTTTTGGGTCAAGCACGGTTGGCGACGTACGGTGCGAAAGAAGTTAAAACGGACGACATGATGCAACGAGCGCAATGAGGCTCGGACGAGCGCCTGGCATCACCTCCCGGCTATGACATTCATCGTCGGGTGATGTAACTCATCAAGTGCACGAGACAACGCCGTTGTCAGTCGTCAGGCACCCCCCTTCGTGTGAATGTGGAAAGATGAAAGACGCAAGCAGCAGCAGCAGGAGTCAGAATGTCGACCGCAACAGTAAACACACGAGCCTTGTGGGTCCCCGCGTTCCTTCAAAACTACGCGAACTATTTTAACTCCGAAAGCCCTGTCGTCGTGGCGAGTACACCACGGACATTTGCATTTAGTCCCATGAACGTCCCCGATGCGATCACACTCAAGAACAAAATTGAGCGCAATTGTTCTATAACAGAGGCAAGGGGTTTAACGACCCGCAAGCATTAGGCATAGCAGCAGGCATCAACCATCAGCAGCTCCAACTCCCGGCGATTTGACAGAAGCCTTTGGATTTGTCCACTTACCTTGACTTGCTTGTCTCCTACTCATCATCATCATCACCACCACCGACACCCATCAACTCTCCGCGCCTGCCACGGAGTGCAACGACGTCTCGGGGAATCCAAGGCACCCACCTCTGTCAGTGGGATCTCCTGGCGCTCCGTCGAAAGGACAGCTGCCATTTTCCAGAAGCACCCCTCTTCTTTTTGCTATCCGTTCCCCGACAAAAACCACCACCACCACCCACACACACAAAAAAAAACCGATTTCGGTTTCAAATCCCCGGCACGGACACCGGCGTTTGCATGGCTCTGTTCACAGCCGTTTGCTTATATCGTGGTTAGTGCATCGTTATTATTATATTATTAGTATTATGGCTCTTCATCTTCTTCGCCGCGTGCGTTTTGGTAACACGTTGGGCTCCTGCCAGGCGAGCGAGCGAGCAAGCGCACGCTCCCCCTTGACGCAGCCCTGCGCTGTAACTGCTCCGTTTCTATTTTTGTGCCCAATGGGGACAAAAAAAAAACAACCCCCCAAATGTACAGTACTCCGATCCCTTCGCGTGCGCGATCCTGCGTGCTTATTCGTTCACGTGTTTTGTTTGTTAATTTTTTTTTTAAACTTAAAATATCCGCCGCGAACACGCGCAACAATCGGATCGGGCAGGCGAGAGGAGTAGCAGCAGCAGCAGCGGTGGTGGCATCACCGCGTTACGCGGTTTGGGCTGCGGAGGCAATCCCACACACATTCTTCATCCTTCATGCGGCCGCCTTCCTCCGCCCATTTTACGCACGCAGCCTCAAACCCGGTCCCAAATCCCCACTCCTCCCCCCAACCCCGCAACCGTCAACCCTCCCCCAAGTGCATCGCTCCACCAGCAATCCAACACACAGTCATCCCCCCAGCCAGCCAGCCAGTCATCCCCCCACCCACCTTCCCCCCCCCACCCACCTTCCCCCCCCCACCTTCCCCCCCCCCCACCCACCTTCCCCCCACCCACCTTCCCCCCCCCACCCACCTTCCCCCCCCACCCACCTTCCCCCCCCACCCACCTTCCCCCCCCACCCACCTTCCCCCCCACCCACCTTCCCCCCCCACCCACCTTCCCCCCCCACCCACCTTCCCCCCCACCCACCTTCCCCCCCCACCCACCTTCCCCCCCCCACCCACCTTCCCCCCCCACCCACCTTCCCCCCCCACCCACCTTCCCCCCCACCCACCTTCCCCCCCACCCACCTTCCCCCCCCCACCCACCTTCCCCCCCCACCCACCTTCCCCCCCCACCCACCTTCCCCCCCCCCACCCACCTTCCCCCCCCACCCACCTTCCCCCCCCCACCCACCTTCCCCCCCCCACCCACCATCCCCCCCCACCCACCTTCCCCCCCCCCACCCACCTTCCCCCCCCCACCCACCTTCCCCCCCCCCACCCACCTTCCCCCCCCACCCACCTTCCCCCCCCCACCCACCTTCCCCCCCCCACCCACCTTCCCCCCCACACCCACCTTCCCCCCCCACCCACCTTCCCCCCCCCCACCCACCTTCCCCCCCCCCCCCCACCCACCATTCCCCCCCACCCACCTTACCCCCACCCACCTTCCCCCCCCACCCACCTTCCCCCCCCCACCCACCTTCCCCCCACTCAGCCATCCACTTCCCCCCCCCCCACCCATCCAGCCATCCACCTCCCCCCACTCAGCCATCCACTTCCCCCCCACCCATCCAGCCATCCACCTCCCCCCACTCAGCCATCCACTTCCCCCCCCACCCATCCAGCCATCCACCTGCCCCACTCATCCGCCCACCCATCTTCCCTAGCCCACCCATCCAGCCATCCACCTGCCCCACTCATCCGCCCACCCATCTTCTCTCGCCCACCCATCCAGCCATCCACCTGCCACACTCATCCGCCCACCCATCTTCTCTCGCCCACCCATCCACGCTTTATCCTCACACCACAGCGCTACAGGTCGTGATCTTGAACTCGACGGTAGTCTCAAGGCCCTTTCCGCGCTGCCGATAAAGATGCTGTTGCCTGGCTTAGCTCGGCAAGAGGAGGTTACGATAAAAAAAATAATACGTAATAATAAACTCAGAAACATCGATTCTCACATTGAGCGATGTCCGTGAGCAAGGACGATAACAGCTGCTGCATTCCGCAGCACAGAAGCACGCATTGCTAGAATCTTAAGGAGACTTTGCTAAACCCTTCTTCGCGTGGCTGATGTTGATGAAGAGCGGTGACGATGACGTTTACATTGAAGCGGTCGGGCCATACGATTGCGTCAAGAGCAGTGGAGCGAATCGTTGTAAACGATTGCCTCCTTCGTGTTGGTGACTCGGGCATTCAATCGCTGTACGTCCCATGGAATGTTGTGGGTGACCGCAGTGGCACACCAGAGTTGAGCAGTTGCCATCTGTGCATCAAGTACAGGGACTACTCTACTTACGGACATTCAACTTGCGAACTTTCAGAGATACGAACAAACCTGTCCACATGTCCAGTGGCTTGTTCGGACCGAGAGTCGTAAATTCAACCGCGGCCGTGGTGGCATCTACATCAGGGACGTGCGGTCAGGGGAGGCAGGGGAAGCAGAGCCTCACCTGTTATAATCCAATGAAAATAGCTGTTACGAAAAGTTAAAAAAAGAATAATCAAATCAAATAAATATTTAAGATTCCTCCACTGATCTGTGTTATAAATGTAATTTCTGTACGATTCCAATCATTTTTTTTATATCAAAATTGCCAAATTTGCGGAGCTCCGCTGCAAATACAGGAAGAGACGAGAGGTGAGGCAGCGGCGAGCTCAGCCTCCCCTCTGATTGCGCAACCCCTCAGTAACTGGATGGAGCGCGGCAGTAAGCGCGTGCCTGTTACTATCTCAGTATGTCACCAATGTAATGTTTGTAGACCCCTTCATTTCATGTTCTCGCCTTCCATACTCCAGGTAACATATTTCACGTATGTGTGTAAATATATTTAGGCTCGCTGGTCTCGTCATGAAACTGCAATGAAAAAGCACCAGGGGAGGCAGCTATCACATCTGCCTCCCTCAGTGTGTGAATCTGGCTCTGACACTAGCCAGTGCCTCCCCAGCCATTGACCTCACCGCACATCACTGATCTACATCTGCAGAACGTGAAGAACCAGTGGCATCTAGCTCTGCAGAACGTGAAGAACCAGTGGCATCTACATCTGCAGAACATAAGCAACCAGTGGCATCTACATCTGCAGAACATAAAGAACTAGTGTCATCTACATTTACAGAACATAAAGAACCAGTGGCATCTACAGAACATGAAGAACCAATGGCATCTACATCTGCAGAACGTGAAAAACTAGTGGCATCTACATCTGCAGAACGTGAAGATCCAGTGGCATCTACATCTGCAGAACATGAAGAACCAGTGACATCTACATCTACAGGAGATTATACAACCTTTAAAGCGAATTTCCCATGTTTAGTGTACATGCTGTACAACATGTTTGGAATCGACAGGAGTAAAGTTGGACTTACGAACAGACCTCTGGAACCTAACTCGTCCGTAATTAGAGGTCCTGTTTCCGCATCTGCCATGCTTTGTGTGCAGGTGAGGTTTAATGGGATTGTGGTCCAGAAGCTACTCGGGAGATGGAAGCCAGATATTGTCTGCGTGGGATGACGTGGTACTGTTTAAAAAAAAAAAACTCCTGTTCATAGCATCTACCTAATTTGTAGAAACACAACCCGAATGAATTAATCCACGTTTAGCTTATGCAACCTACATTATACGGTTGTTGGGCATTGCTGTGGATTACAGGTTTTCAAACGTAATAAAAAATTACATTTATTTCATGCACTTGCATTTATTAATTTGGCCATTTCCATGCCGTTTAACCCGGGGGACAATTCAAGAGACCCTCAACAGGCTGACAACGCATGTCCACAAACATCGACCAACATTTCAATGAGATCGGGTTCTATGCCCGTAATCTGACAATGTTCGACGCCGTTGTCATTTTGCGTACAACATTTTCAGCACAATTTCAAAGTGGCCTTTTTTTGTGGGGTCAATTATACGTTGAGTGTTTTGCACAGATGCGTGCAGCTTTACACGAAGCATTGCATCACCCAACACTGCATGTATTCGTTCTCAGGCCTCCGTTGCGAATGATACGCGACGCCTTTGGTTGACTTGTCGTCTGCGTGCAATTAAATGTGGTGACAGCAACGAGCAACGACGCACAGCACACGCACACCGATGTCATCGACCTCATGCGTTTACAACGGGACACACATGTTAAGTGTTTTTCACCTTTGGTTGTTCAAATCTGTCTGGTCGCGTTCCAAACCACCGGGCACTTTTTTTCCACTGCGTAAACTGCAGATACCGCGTGATGGCAGCTGACACTGACAAAAGAGTGAAGCTTCGAGCAAACCGGTAGCGGGGTAGCGAACCCATGTTTATAACGAGATGGATTGTATTGTTGCTATACACAGCACTGCATGCGAATGTGAAAGCATGCCAAGAGATATTTCGCCCCTCGAGCTGTGAAAGGAGAATGGGCTTCAGCTGTTAGCACACGTACGGTAAACCAAATTGTACAGAATAGCGCACATACCACAGGCGTTGCATTATGTTATGTAATGTATGATAAATGTGCTCGAAAATGTGCTATATTGTGTAGAGTGTACACAATACTGGATGTGGTGAAAGTGCGATAAATTGACTTTTGACAATGCGTCTACGTTCGGGGCGGGGGATGGAGGGGAGGGGTGATAGGGGAGGGGTGATAGGGGAGGGGTGATAGGGGAGGGGTGATAGGGGAGGGGTGATAGGGGGGGGGTGATAGGGAAGGGGTAATGGGGGAGGGGCGATGGGGGAGGGGGGGTGGCGGGGGTGGTGGGGGCGAGACTGGAGAGCCCTCGGACCTGCACAGTACACGGCACACATCACGCCGCATGTACGTTAACATTTCTTCGTCTGTACAATTACGCACACACCGGTACATTTACAGGAATGTATATACAGCAACACAGGGTTGTTGTTGTTTATTTGCATTTTTTTTAATTGCATCAAGCCGAATATTGCACTTTAGCCGCACCACACAAGGCTTCCTCTCCTCTTTTTTTACGATCAGCGGAAACAAGAAGATGCTCGGTGTAGTCGGCACTTTGCTTCGTTCATCATTTCGTATTTTTTATTTTTTTAATAACTTGCTTTATGTAAACCCCCACCTCTCGCTCACTCTCTCGGTCACTCTCTCGCTCTCTCTCTCGCTCCCTCTATCGTTCTGCACGCAGCCCTTCTCGCAG